GGTACATATATACCATGGAATACAATGCAGCCATAAAAAAGGAATGAGATCACGTCCTTTGCAGGGACATAGATGTAGCTGGAAGCCATCATTGTCAGCAAACTAACACAGGGACAGAAAACCAAACACCACATGTTCTTACTCTTAAGTGGGAGTTGAATAATGAGAACACATGGATACAGGGAGGGAAACAACACACTGGGGCCCATTGGGGGAGTTGGGGAGGGGTGAGGGGAGGAAACCTAGATGATAGGTTAATAGGTGCAGCAAACCACCATGGCACACATATAACTATGTAACAAACCTGCATGCTCTATACATATATCGCAGAACATAGAATAAAATTTTTAAAAAAGAATAAAATGAGCAGTTTTATGACTGTGGGGAAAGTGGGGATATAGATTCAGATTAGTTTAATAAATGAAAGAATATAAAGATATTAAGTGGCAGCTCAAATAAAATTAAGCACCGACTCAGAGCAAGGCTCTCCCCTCAGGTTCTATGGCCTGAAATGTAGACAGAGAACTAGAACAATGACTTATACATGCTCCTTCTTTGTTCTCATTTCCCTCTTTGCCATTACCCACACGAAAAGAGCAGTTGAGTTGTTCGTTCATTCATTCATTCAAAGATATATTTATTATTATTTGCAAGACACTGTAATAGATGCTGAGAGAATTACGAATTCTGCCCTCACGAGCTTGTGGTATAGTTAGGTGGTTATAGTTAGGTGCTTTAGAAAGTAGAATGCACGAAGTTGGCTACAGATAAGAGAAACTGGGGCACCACCTAGGAGGACCTGCAATAGTCCAGATAAAAGGTACCAAAGGTCTAGCTTAGGGTGAGCTAGGACAGGTTCTACATCACACACAAAGTATGCCAACATCATTCTGGACCATCTACCTACTCTTCTAGGGTCCAAGTCAGCAGCCCCAAAAAAAGTTGCCTTTTGGGTTATTTGCAGTTTCTTCTTTCCTCAAAGCTATAATTCCCAAAACTAGACCTGCTGGATCTATTTATTTTTTAAAGAGTTCATATTGATGTGAAAGACTTAGTAGGGGTAAGAGAGAAGTATGGAGTAGATAATAATGACCACATTAATTATTGTTTCAAAATTTAGTTAGAACCCCTTGAGCCTTCTGTTTTCCAACCCTTTTGGCAATCTACATCTTATTTTTAAAAGAATACTGATATTCCTAAAAGAAAACATCTTAAATTCTGTTCACTTGAGGATAAGAACAAAAACGGATTTGCCTTTCACACTCTGTAATCTGATGTTTTATCTAGCCACCTCAATTACAGCATCATACCACATACTGTAAAGGCAAATGTTCCTCAGCATCAAAGATGTCTATTGCCTACTACATGTTTATTCTTTGTTTGGGTGCAAGAGGCTATTGGAATCAATATCTCGGCTTAGATAAGACAGGATAGGAAAATCAGCATTTTGATGTGACAGTTCTACACCAGAATCTTTATAGTAGAACCTATCAGAATAGACCACAGGATCCATCATTGGAACAGAAGGTAGACATTTTCCTTGAAGGACCAGATAACACATGTTTTCAATTTTGCTGGCCATAGTTTCTGTTGTAACTACTCAATTCTGGTGTTGCAGCGCAAAGGCAGCCATAAACAGTACGTTAAAAAATGTGGCTACATTTCTTTTAAAGTTTCTTTACAAAAACAGGCTACAGGCTGGATTTGGCCCACATGCTTCAATTTGTCAGTCCTTGGATTTTAACAACTAAGATTTATGTATCTCAACCTACATGTCTATTACAGGTTGACTGGATACACCACATCTCTTCACTCACTCAAAGACCCAAACTGATGGAGAAGTCAACATCCCTACCAGTTACAGTGGCAGAAGACAAGAAAGCTTTGAAGTGTCTTGAACTGGAAGTCAAATACTCCATCCTAGACGAGAACAATCATTATTTCCTTAATGATTAATTATTTACAGCTTAGAGGCCAGGAGTCATTTATGGCCTACCCAGTCACCAGGGACTTTCTACTATAATTTTACAATGTCTGGAATGCAGACAACCTAATATATTGGCAAAGAGAATCAGTAACTACTTGATCAAGCTTAAATTAAAGGTTGTTTTAGGAAAAGTTTTCTTTCATTCAAACAAGTTTCATGTATATAGTACTGACAAATTGTAGCTCATCAAGGTAAGCTTATAGACACTTCAACTGATCAAATAATCATTCTAGAAAGATATGGTTGAAAGACTCATGATCTTTCAAAAGAGTTATTCTTCTGTGAGAAATTCATTTGGCATATTTTACTTGATATAATACATTAAGAAAGAGAAATTGATGGAAGAGAAAACAACTAATTGAATGAAAAAGCTGATGGTCAGAGTGACAGACTTCCATCATGCAAAAAGTATAAAACAGCTTGGATATGCCTATACACAATTTAATTATCAATCTGTATTATGCTTCTTAATCATAATTTTTAAAAATTATATATTTCCCTATTATCTAAACTTCAGATCCAAGATGATGTCTTCTAATATCTATCAACCAGACTTTTTCTTTCTTAATATATTTTGAAAAAAATAATTATCACCTTTAGTGTAAGAATTCTAAGATTATTTAAATATATATATATAGACACTAGGGGTCATATATTAATTTTTAAGAGAATGAGAGACATTTCTGAAAAATCCATTTATTTTTAAATTGATGAGATTAAGTTGAAAATGTTTTCCATCTCTACTACTGCCTGCTTACTGACATCAATATAAAGAAGGTCTATAAAGTAGTGCAGTTGACCCTTAAACAACATGAGGGCCAGGGACACCAATACCTCATGCAGTCAAAAATTCTCATATAATTTTTTACTCCCCTAAAATTTATTAATAGCCTACTCTTGACCAGAATTTCATCAGTAATATAAACAGTTGATTAACTCATATTTTTGTTTTATGTATTATATACTGTATTCTTACAATAATGTAAGCTAGAGAAAAAAATATTAAGAAAATCATAAGAAGGAGAAAATATATTTACTATTTATTCAGTGGTCATGGATCATCATAAAGGTCTTCAACATCATCTTCCTGTATAGAAAGCTGAGGAGGAGGAGGAAGATAAGAGGCTGGTCTTGTTAACTTAGGAGTGGAGAGGCAGAAGAAAATCTGCATATAAGTGAACTCATGAAGTTCAAACCCACGTTTAAGGATCAACTGTAGTTATAAGGAGGACTCTCCTTGTCACACACTCTAAGAATAGAGGTGATAAAATTCAAAGAAATGATGCACATATAAATAGAGTCATAGATTCATAAGAACTGAAAGAAACCTTGGAAGGTATCAATACAATTACTACACCAGTCAGTCCTCAAAGGGAAAAATAGATGGCCATGAGGATTATGTATCAATGCCTGAAGGATAGAGGCTGATTTACTTTGAAAATCACATTGATATTACAATATAATTTTAAATATGTTAAAATCTTTTTGTTTTAAAATAAAAATGACAGAAAGTAAATTTACTCTGCTAAGGAAAACACAAAGATAAGAAAGTGAGGAAGAATTTAGAGTAGGCCAACAATTAATTCAGTGTATGACATTACATCACCTGAGACCGATTCACACTGGCATGGTATAATTACGGATATTATTTACATTGTATTTGATTTAAAAAAAAGTTTCACATTTTAAGATGAAAATATAAAACTGAAAGTTGATTTTTTTTTCTGACTGCAGTGTAAGCTCCAAAAAGGAATTTCAAGCTCTTCGACACTTATTTCAGTAACATCCTTCGTTTCATTGAATTAAAACTATTTTATCTTTGGATTGTATAAATCAGAGAGTTTCCAATTCACCCTTAGGCACCATTTCAATTGGAGAATGGTAGACCACTAAAGTAAATGGATAAAAGTAAACAAAAATTTAGGTTACAGGAAACAGGTTTGACTAGATATCTGCAATACCCTCTCTTCTGAACAACTGCCATTAACCTTGTTCAAAATATGAACTTACTACAATCAATTCTACAAGATTTCCCCATGCTCCTCTTCACACACTTACACCACACACACACACACACACACACACACACACACACACAATTTTAGACATCTTTTTTGGGAACCCAAAAAATAAAATGTGGCCAAGTTTTCATCAAGTTAGAATGTGTATATTCTATAAAGGAACTCATTCATGCGCTGTCTGTCTAAACGATGAGAGTGCCATGATGCCAGCTGCATTCGGGGAGGTGTGGCTGGGGTAGTCTGATCCAAAGAGCTGGTGGGAGTCAGGAATGAGTGGAAGCCCTGCCCCCTTCTGAATTTTCAGGGCAGGAGTCTTGCACTTCCCCAACACAGCTGCAGCCACTCAGCTGCAGCTGCAGACTCAGGCATCCCTGTGCTCTTAGGAGCCAGGAGCAGGAAGGAGCTCCACTATCCTAGGTGCAACTGCAGCTGCCCAGCTATGGCTGTGGACCCAGGAACCTCTGCACTCTTGGAGGCCTGGGAAGGCCCCACCCAACCCTGCAGGCTTGGAGGTGCCTACTTGCTGCCTGGCCTCTCCCAGCTCTGATCTCAGAGCAGAGTTGAGGCTGAGCCGAGGCATTGTCGAAACCTGGCTGGGTGTGTACATGCTGAGGGCAATGCTGACATGCCAGACCCCTGCTGCCTTGGCCCCCTCTAGACTTTCGGCACTAACAAGCACAAGACAGGAGCCAAAGGGCATGCTGAGGGCAGCTCAGTGCTGGCCTGCAGATGCCCCTTGGCACGAACAGAGTGGGTGCCGTGTACAGCAGCAGGAGGCAGACGGGCTTCTGGGTGGAAAGGGGTGGGTCCCTAGTGAAGCCCTATCTTCAGGCTCAGGGAAAGCCTAAAGCCTGGGATGCAGAATGCCAGGCTCATGGACTGGAGTGGAAATTTGCGGTGATTTTTCCAGGCCTGCCTATAGCCACTCATGGATGAATCAGCATGTACTTCCATGCCTCTGAAGCCCATAAAAAACCAGGACTCAGCCAGACTTGAGAAGACACTGGGACAACCAACTGTGGAGAGGAACTACCCACTCCAGGGTCTCTTCTCTGCTGAGAGCTGAACACTCATCAGGGCACCCTGGCTGTGGAGAGGAGCTACTGATGCAAGACTCCTCTGACCTGTTCTATTGGTCAATAAAGCTCCTCTTCATCTTGCTCACCCTCAACTTGTCCTTGTACCTCATCCTTCTTGGACACAGGACAAGAACTTGGATGCACCAAATGGCAGGGCTAAAAGAGATGTAACACAAACAGGGGTGAAACATGCCCCTTGCATACCACATTGCAGTCAACAAGAAGGAGAAATAAAAGGAGAGAAGAGCTGAGGCTCTTCAAGGAGCCCAGACCTAGGAGCTGCCTGAACCAGGGCTGTGACACCCTCTTTGGGGCTCTGCAGTTCCTGGCATCTCCAAGCTCCTGGGTGCCACTGCATTCCCCATTGCCAGCCATGGAAGCTGCTTGCAGGATGCTTGGTCCAGCCACAGCCTCACAGGAAGCTGGCATCTGTACCAGTGCCTGGAGCCACCCACCCAGCCACAGCCAGTGTTCCTGGCTGTGCGCAGTGGTCAGACCCCACACTTGCTCCCTCATACACACTTCACTGCTCTACTCACCCTTGGCAAGCATGGGATCCAGGCCGGTAGAACAGGCCAAGCTCAGCCTGCCAGGCTGAGTGGGCCCAGTGGGCCCGAGCAAAACTCAATCAAAGGCATCACTAGCCACAGAGGTTTCCAGCTAGTGAAGTGACACCCCAAGGATCTTGTGACGTAAACATACCTTGAAATGTCATTAAGTGGCCCACTTATTTGAATGACATTTATTTCAAAATTTCACAAATGTTAATTTTTTAATAGATATGCAAAGTTTTACTCTTCAAAAATGTGATTTCCTGTGCCATGTCAGTTTAGAGAGCTCTGAAATTATTAGCACGTAGCCACAAAAGTTGTGAATTTCTTGAGTGAAAGAACTTTTTGACTCATAAGAAATATACAATAATCCAACTGCAGAAGAAATTCTCAAGAATTCTTGCCTTTTGGGTGTTTCCAAAAACTTCCTGGAGAGAAAATGTTTTTTAGAGTTCCAATATAGCCATTTGATAGCTAAAATTATCAAATTTTAACTATTGTTAAAGATCATAGACCTTTACAGCTGTTGTATGTGGTGAATGAAATCATACTTAGATTTGTGCTTTGTGGCTAAAGAAACTAGGCCATTTTATCAAGACAGAGAAATATCACAATAGCAGCTGCCTTTGAATTTATAACAAAATTCATTCATTTTCTTAATAAATGTCATTGGTTATCAGTGAAATCCAAGTACCAACCTAGGTGCTGAGAACACAGTGGTTTCTGTAGTGAATATTTTTCTTTCTCCTTTATCTTCTTTTTAAAATTATCCAATATCCAAACTGCCTTTTAATTTTAGAATTCCCCAATGAATGCAATATTGGTAAAGGATAGTGCTATATCTCCCTCCTTGAAAACCAAGGGATTAGCAGGAGCCCTTCCCTGGGAGCACAGGATACAAACACATGAGTAAGACTCAGCCCATCAGGTGCTCTACGTGGACTTTCCATCTGAAGTGAGTAACCCAAAGATATAAAAGAGGGTTATTATCCTCCATTGCCCCCTGGTTTCTGCCCATTTCCAAGCCTGTTCTTTAATCGTCTGTTCTCTATCACTCCAATAAAGTTTTTGTTTTATTTTGTCTCAAGGTAGCCAGTTGGATTTTGTGTATTATAATCTAAAACCCTGATTAATTAAGTCTCTATGAAGCAAATAAACAATCAAGCAGAATTCACAATTAAGATATAGAGTGAAAGGCATGAGGGCCGGGCACAGTTACTCACACCTGTAATCCCAGCATTGGGAGGTCGAAGTGGGCAGATCACTTGAGGTCAGTAGTTTGACACCAGTTTGGCCAACATGGTGAAACACTGTCTCTGCTAAAAGTACAAAAATTAGCTGGGTATGGTGGTGTGTGCCTTTAATCCTGGCTACTCATGAGGCTGAGACAGGAGAATCACTTGAACCCAGGAGGCAGAGGTGGCAATGAGCCGAGATCACACCACTGCACTCCAGCCTGGACAACAGAGGGAGACTCAAAAAAAAAAAAAAAAGAAAGAAAAGAAAAGAAAAGAAAGAAAGGAGTAATATCAGCAAGATGGCGAACTAGAGTTATCTGGCACTTGTACCCACCACAAAAAGGAACCAATAAAATAAAACAATTAATAAAAACTATATTTTGACTAGAATAACTGGAAAGTACACTATAGAGTACCAGTAGAGCAGTAAAACTCTTACACAGCACAAAAGCCCAGGATAGCACCATAGAAAGGGGAATAAGGCATTCTGCCTCTTCCCCACTGTCTCCATCACTAGTATTGGCTTAGGGTCAAGGAAAGCTTCTTTTTATGGGAAAAAGAGTAAGGTTGAGATCACCAGCAGATTCCATTACCACAAATGTCAAGCAATCCTTGCTACAGTAGAGTTCCCCCGTATTCACAGGCCCCAAATCTAGCTTGGAGAAGCCAAGAATTTGTGTAGCTGCATTGCCTCAGACTAGGAAACCACTTGAGCGCTTTCCGCCTCCATAACCTATGGCTTGGTGCCATCTTGAAACCAGGCCCATGCTAGGGTATTCCATCCCTGGGGACCAGTAGCAACTGAGTCTCTCCATTCCCAAGTCCCTGCCATCATTCTATCATGTTCAAACAGGTGCCTGCAGCACCATAACCCTGATTGCCCAAAGCCTAGGCCAGATGAAAGGGCCAAGACCCTAGCATCTGAACCCATGTGGCACATCATTCCCCCCAAAAGCAGGGGCACCTGCATAACAAGGCAGATGCTAAAAGCTGGCAGGCTGCTTCACCCACACGTACCCCCACTACACAGCTGGCCAATGTACCAAGCATACATGTGTTCATACTTGACCCAACTGTTAGTCCTTGAAGCATTCTTATTTTTCTGGAAAGACCATCACAGGGCTGCTTAGCCAGCCATGTTTATGCATGCCTGTGCCCAGCCAATGGCAGTCTCAACAGGAACCACCACTTCTCCAGAGAGCCCTTCAGACATTCTATCAGCCTCCATGCCCATATGTGCCCAGCTTGACAATCAGTTGAGCACCTCGGCAAAACTGCACCACTGCCATCACAAACTCTCACAGACTAGGCCACTAAAGCAATCACAGATATTGTTGACAAGGATTGCAACTGAAGAAACTGCATGGAGACTATACTACTGAGTCTACCCAGAACCAAAGTCAATGTGCCATACCCAACTGACACCTAACTACAGGAAAAAAGTGTCTCCTTACAAAGGTCCTCCATAAAATTGGAAAAGACAACTATTTCACTACATGCACAGGTATCAATGTAGGAACACAAGATACATAAACAAGCAAGGAAATATAATACCCCCAAAGGAAGGTAATCAGTCTTCAATGAGAGATCACAAAGTAAAGGACATTTATAAAATGCCTAAAAAGAAAATCTAAATAATGATCTTAAGGAAACCGAGAAAGATACAGCAGAACACAAACAATTCAATAAAATTACAAAAACAATTCATGATGTAGGCGAGAAATTCAAGAAATAGATATCATGAGAAAGAACCAAAGTGAAATCCTGAAGATGAAGAATTTAATGCATGAAATAAATAACATAATTGAGATGTTCAATAACAGGCTAGATCAAGCAGAATAAGTAATTTCAGAAATTGAAGACAGGTCTTTTAAAATAACTCAGTCTGAGAAAAAAATTAAGAATAAAAAGATGAACAAAGCGTTTGAGATTTATAGAACACCACTAAACAAAGAAACATTCACATTATAAAAATAACAGGGGGGAAAGATATGGAGAAAGGCACAGAAATTCTATGTAGCAAAGTAATAGCTGAAAATATGCCAAATGATTGAGAGAGATATGAACATCTAGATTCAGGAAACCCAAAGATTCCCAATTATATTCCACCCAAAAAGATCCTCTGTAAGGCACATTATAATCAAACCATCAAACATCAAAGACAAGGAGAGAATTCTAAAAGTGGCAAGAAAAAAGCACCAAGTCACATATAAGGTAATCTCCATTAGACTATTAGCAGACTTCTCAGCAGAAATCTTTCAACCCAGGAGAGAATGGAATAATATATTCAAAGTGCTGAAAGAAAAAAAAAATAGCCAAAAACTATATCCACAAAGCTATCCTTAAGAAATGAAGGAGAAATAAAGAACTTCCAAGACAGCCAAACACTGAGGGAATTCATCACCACTAGGCTGGACTTACAAGAAATACTTAAGGGGAATGCTACAACTGAAAACAAAAGAACAATAATTACTGTCATAAAAACATGTGAAACTTATAAAAATTACTAGTGGAGGTAAATTCATAAATCAAACTAATAATACTCCAGTAATGCAATGGTGCTATGTAAGTCTCCTAATCCTAATCATCTAGCATGAAGGTTTAAAGTAAAAATGTTAAAAAATAACAACAGCTACAATTAATGGCTCAGGAACATATAATACATTAAAAAATAAATTAAGGCAACAAAAACATAAATTGTTGGGAGTAGGGGTGTCTAGAGTATTTTTATGAGACCAAAAGTGATTTGCTTTCAGTTTTAAACAATCTGTTATTGTTAGCCACATGGTAATGACAAAGGAAAAAATTATAGCAGATGTGCAAATAAGAAAGTAGGAAACAAAAAAGCTTAGCACCACGGAAAACGACCAAACCACAGAGGTTAAAAAAAAAAAAAAAAAAAAGGTGTCGTTGAAGAAATAATTTTAAGACTGAGATGAAGTGGAGGGGTGGGGAACAAGAAATAAATAAATGAATAAAAGTTTACAAAACAACCAGAAAACAATTTTTAAAAGTTTAGGAGTAGGTCCTTATATATCAATAATAATCTTTAATATAAATAGGTTAAATTCTCCAACTAAAACATATAGAGTGCTGAATTGAGTAAAGAAACAAGATTTAACTCTATGCTGCCTAAACGAGACTCGCCTCACTGTTAAAGACAAATATAGACTGAAAGTAAAGGGACGGGAAATAATATTCCATGCAAATGGAAACCAAAAGCAAGCAAGCGTAGATATTCTTATACCAGATAAGATAGATTTTAAGTCAAAAATTGTAAAAAGAGACAAAGAAGATTACAATATAATAAATGGATCAATTGAACAAGAAGATATAACAATTATAAATATAAATACATCCAACACTGAAGCACCCACATATATGAAGCAAATATTACTAGATCTAAAAGGAGAGACAAAGTGCAATGCAATAATAGTAGGGAACTTCAACACAC